ATCATTTTATTCAGGGGAAACAGGGCTTTCATTTACTATCAAATATTTAGCTCTGAAACATAATTTAATATGAAAAAAATGGGAGAAAATAGAAAAAAATTATATTTTTTTTAGTTCTACATGACATTTTAACTGTCAGTGTCATAATACTGTTTGCTTTTACTGCAATAAAATACACATATTTGTATTCAGCAAAGTCTCACTTGTAAAGGTACAGGTTTTATGGTGTTTTGGGAAGTTACAGGGTCAAATATAGCATGTTACATTTGAAATTGAAATTTACCAGATAGGTTATGTTGCCTTTGAGACTGTATAGTAGCCCAGGAATTAAATTTACACCCATAATGGCATACCATTTGCAATAGTAGACAACCCAAGGTATTGCAAATAGGGTATGTCCAGTCTTTTTTAGTAGCCATTTGGTCACAAACACTGGCCAAAGTTAGTGTTAGTATTTGTTTGTGTGTGAAAAATGCAAAAAACACCAATTTTGGCCAGTGTTTGTGACTAAGTGGCTACTAAAAAAGACTGGACATACGCCATTTGCAATACCTTGTGTTGTCTTCTTTTGCAAATGGTATGCCATCATGGGAGTAATTTTCATTCTTGGGCTACCATAGGGTCTCAAAGGCAACGTAACCAATCTGGCAAATTTTAATGTGAAAAAAATGAAACACAAGCCTTATATCTGACGCTGTAACTTTTGAAAACACCATAAAACCTGTACATGAGGGGTACTGTTGTACTCGGGAGACTTCGCTGAACACAAATATTTGTTTCAAAACAGTAAAAAGTATTGCAGCAATAATATCGTCCGTGTAAGCGCTGTTTGTGCGTGAAAAACGTCACTTTTACTGGCGTTATCATCGTTGTAATAAATTTTACTGTTTTGAAACACGAATATTTGTGTTCAGCGAAGTCTCCCGAGTAGAACAGTACCCCCCATGTACAGGTTTTATGGTGTCTTGGAAAGTTATAGGGTTAAATATAGTGCTAGCAAATTAAATTCCCTTTACTTTCGGCATGGGTTGTCAGGCAGGTCCCGCTAATTGTAATTAATTAAGATACCTAATTATGTAAAAATATAACATAAATATATAAGTAGAATTAATATATATATATATATATATATATATATATAATTTTTAAAAAATATTTTTATTTATATATAGGTATATATAGTGATATATACGTATATAGATATATATATTTCGTTCTACGTGTATTTTGATATATATATATATATATATTAATATCACAATACAGTTAGAACAAAATAACACACATCTATAAATTTTTTAATTATTTATTTTTAATAATTTTTTTAATTTAATTTTTTAACGTATTTACATATTTTTTTTTATATTATATATAAATTTATATATAACAATAATTACATACCGGTATATATTTAATCAGTATCAGTCTACGTGTAATTTGATATTAATATATATATATAATTAATAGTAAAATACACCTAGACAGTGTATGTATATGTGTATATATATACTTAGATCATATATATTTAATATATATGATCTAAGTATATATAATTTTTTTTTACACTTTATTAACTTTAATTTTATTTAAATTCAGCCAGCAGGGGGACTTCCTGTCATTACAGGCAGTCCCCCTGCTGGCAATACAGCAGCCAGCTAACCCGGCCATGTGATTGTGAGGTCGGACGTGCCGCGGGGGGCTCCCTGGGAGTCCCCCCAACCGCGATCGCCGGCGTGGGATCGCCGGCGACTGGGTAATTAAAAAAAAAACGAAGGGTGTACTATTACGCCAGGCGGTGTTTAGAGACGCCTAAAATAGGACGTAATAGTACGCCCTCCGGTGTTAAGGGGTTATAGTGAGTTCATTGAGCAGGTCCGCAGAACACGTTCTATTCATGTATGTTTTAATGGATATGATGGAATTACCCAAACATTATCGGCACGCTGAATCTCGGTATCCTTTTCAAGTTTTCTTTGTAAAGTGCTGAGACTGCGCTCAAGGTGTTCCCGCTGTTTAGCAAACTCTTCCTGGATGTCAGTGTCCAAGCCAACGATTTCTGCCTGAATTACACAATAATAAGAACTGATAACAAATTGTATTGTTAAAGATAAATTCAATATATACCTTGTACCTACTGCACTTACTGTGCCTCCCTCTACTCTAATGTAACCTGTAAAGTGCTGAGTACACCTGTTAGCGCTATATAAATATAATATACATACACTGTATACCTACTGCACTTACTGTACCTCCCTCTACTGTAATGTAACCTGTAAAGTGCTGAGTACACCTGTTAGCGCTATATAAATAAAATATACATACACTGTATACCTACCGCACTTACTGTACCTCCCTCTACTGTAATGTAACCTGTAAAGTGCTGAGTACACCTGTTAGCGCTATATAAATAAAATATACATACACTGTATACCTACTGCACTTACTGTACCTCCCTCTACTGTAATGTAACCTGTAAAGTGTTGAGTACACCTGTTAGCACTATATAAATATAATATACATACACTGTATACCTACTGCACTTACTGTACCTCCCTCTACTGTAATGTAACCTGTAAAGTGCTGAGTACACCTGTTAGCTCTATATAAATATAATATACATACACTGTATACTTACTGTACCTCCCTCTACTGTAATGTAACCTGTAAAGTGCTGAGTACACCTGTTAGCTCTATATAAATATAATATACATACACTGTATACCTACTGCACTTACTGTACCTCCCTCTACTGTGATGTAACCTGTAAAGTGCTGAGTACACCTGTTAGAGCTATATAAATGTAATATACATACACTGTATACCTACTGCACTTACTGTACCTCCCTCTACTGTAATGTAACCTGTAAAGTGCTGAGTACACCTGTTAGCGTTATATAAATACAATATACATACACTGTATACCTACTGCACTTACTGTACCTCCCTCTACTGTAATGTAACCTGTAAAGTGCTGAGTACACCTGTTAGCGCTATATAAATAAAATATACATACACTGTATACCCACTGCACTTACTGTACCTCCCTCTACTGTAATGTAACCTGTAAAGTACTGAGTACACCTGTTAGCGCTATATAAATAAAATATACATACACTGTATACCTACTGCACTTACTGTACCTCCCTCTACTGTAATGTAACCTGTAAAGTGCTGAGTACACCTGTTAGCGCTATATAAATGTAATATACATACACTGTATACCTACTGCACTTACTGTACCTCCCTCTACTGTAATGTAACCTGTAAAGTGCTGAGTACACCTGTTAGCATTATATAAATAAAATATACATACACTGTATACCTACTGCACTTACTGTACCTCCCTCTACTGTAATGTAACCTGTAAAGTGCTGAGTACACCTGTTATTACTTTATAAATAAAATATACATACACTGTATACCTACTGCATTTACTGTACCTTCCTCTACTATAATGTAACCTGTAAAGTGCTGAGTATACCTGGTAGTGCTATATAAATAAAATATACATACACTGTATACCTACTGCACTTACTGTACCTCCCTCTACTGTAATGTAACCTGTAAAGTACTGAGTACACCTGTTAGCGCTTATAAATATAATATACATATACTGTATACCTACTGCACTTACTGTACCTCCCTCTACTGTAATGTAACCTGTAAAGTACTGAGTACATCTGTTAATGCTATATAAATAAAATATACATACACTGTATACCTACTGCACTTATTGTACCTCCTACTGTAATGTAACCTGTAAAGTGCTGAGTACACCTGTTAGCACTATATAAATATAATATACACACACTGTATACCTACTGCACTTACTGTACCTCCCTCTACTGTAATGTAACCTGTAAAGTGCTGAGTACACCTGTTAGCGCTATATAAATAAAATATACACACACTGTATACCTACTGCACTTACTGTACCTCCCTCTACTGTAATGTAATCTGTAAAGTGCTGAGTACACCTGTTAGCGCTATATAAATAAAATATACACTGTATACCTACTGCACTTACTGTACCTCCCTCTACTGTAATGTAACCTGTAAAGTGCTGAGTACACCTGTTAGTGCTATATAAATATAATATACATACACTGTATACCTACTGCACTTACTGTACCTCCCTCTACTGTAATGTAACCTGTAAAGTGCCGAGTACACCTGTTAGCGCTATATAAATATAATATACATACACTGTATACCTACTGCACTTACTGTACCTCCCTCTACTGTAATGTTACCTGTAAAGTGCTGAGTACACCTGTTAGCGCTATATAAATAAAATATACATACACTGTATACCTACTGCACTGTACCTCCCTCTACTGTAATGTAACCTGTAAAGTGCTGAGTACACCTGTTAGCGCTATATAAATAAAATATACATACACTGTATACCTACTGTACTTACTGTACCTCCCTCTACTGTAATGTAACCTGTAAAGTGCTGAGTACACCTGTTAGCGCTATATAAATAAAATATACATACACTGTATACCTACTGTACTTACTGTACCTCCTCTACTGTAATGTAACCTGTAAAGTGCTGATTACACCTGTTAGCGCTATATAAATAAAATATACATACACTGTATACCTACTGCACTTACTGTACCTCCCCCTACTGTAATGTAACCTGCAATGTGCTGCGTGCACCTGTTAGCGCTATATAAATAAAATATA